AGAGAGAGAGAGAGAGAGAGAGAGAGAGAGAGAGAGAGAGAGAGAGAGAGAGAGAGAGAGAGAGAGAGAGAGAGAGAGAGGACAAACGTGCAAGTCAGCGATTGGTAGCGAGGTAAAGAAGAAGGAGCAGAGTTAAATAAAAGAAGAGTGTAACTCACCATATATATGGTTCAGCCTCCTGATGAGTCGCTGGACCTCCTACGGAACAGATTGTCGCAGCCCCGCGTTTGTTGTCGTTGTGCTCTTCTCCCGCTCTGCCTACGAGCAGTTCTGTTTATTTTGTTTTTTTTTGAATATTTATTGCTATATATATATATATATATTGTCAGCACCATTATCTGTGTCAGCACCATTATCAATCCACTGCGACTGCCGCCGTACGTGCGGAAGGGTGTCTAACATTTCCTCATTGTGCACATCCCTATCACCCAGATGTACGTTGTCCTTTCTGTTCCCAAGGATGCTATCAGAACTGCATGATGCCGCACTGTGACGAACGTCCTGCTGTTTTCTTGACATGYGGGCAACATGTCCTATGTCGGGATTGTTTCGATGGGATGGTTCGTGCTAGCCGTCCGGCTGAATGCTGCACTAACGCAACTCTCCTTGGGTATCCCCGTGAACATCCCCGTCATCCTCACCGTAGTTGCCCTATCTGCCGACGGGGTGACAGATGAAGTGTAGAAGAAACAGATAAAAAAAGAAGCCGAGCAAAAAGATAAAAAAAGAAACCGAGGAAAGAAAAACACAAAAAAAGAAGTCTGAGAAAAAAGAAAAAAGAAAAAAGAAAAATATGTTCTGTGGGATGGTAATTGGATTATCTGTGGGATGTGTACTTGCTTCGTCTGTTTAATAGGCTTTCTTCTTCTGTGAGGTTTGGTTTCCTCCGCCTTTTCTTTACCTCTTTGCCTTTTGCTTCGTCTGTTTAATAGGCTTTCTTCTTCTGTGAGGTTTGGTTTCCTCCGCCTTTTCTTTACCTCTTTGCCTTTTGGCTGCGTGCAAGTGGGTCTTTATGACACACGGGGATGGGGGCAGCCAGCGACCTGTCATCCACGTGGCTGGCCTTGTACGTAAGAGGTTATGAACAGGTGGAGCTTTCCTTACCTCTTCTTCTCCCCCTTTTTTCTTTTCTCTTCTTTTCTTCTTCCTTTTTTTCGCTTCTGCGCTCTGATTCACAGTGTGACAATATATTATATATATATCGTCAAAAAGAGCTGCCCGGTCAACCGTAGGCAGAGAGGGAGCAGAGGACAACACTCCGCCAAAGTATAGCCGCCTGGCAAAAGACAACTAAGACAAAAAAAAAAAAAAAAGAAGTAATTGCTCGCAATGCGCAACCAGTCTGCGATGATAATGTCCTTTTTTTTTTTTTTAAATATAATCCAGGTCGTTGTAGAGAGGTTGGATGCTAGACATATGACAGTCACCCTCAATAGTCGGCCAGTTGGTTATCCAGATGGTCTATATGTATAGGTCCCTATTCCTAATGAGACTCCCTTTCCACCCCTGATGATGGTGTCCTACTTGACGAACGAGAGAGAACACGGGGGATCTGATCAATCAAGCAATCAAATCAATTGAATCAAAACAGTCCAAGCAATCAAATCAATCAAATTTAATAAAATTTATAATCAAATTAATCAAAAGCAGTCTAAGCAAACAACGGAAGCTGTCGTGTGTAGTGGCGAGATATATCAATTACATCAATTACATGAATCAAATCAATTAAATCAATTAAATCAATTACATGAATCAAATCAATAAAATCAATTACATGAATCAAATCAATTAAATCAAATCAAATCACATCCAAATCACATCCAAATCAAATCCAAATCACATCCAAATCAAATCCAAATCAATTCAAATCCATCCAAATCAATCCAATCAATCCAGTCAAACCAATCAATCCAATCAGTCCAATCATCAATCAAATTAATCCAAACCAATCAAAATCAAAGTCAAACAACTGACGGTGTCGTACTGTACGGTCGAGATATATCACCGCATCTCATCAATCTACTCAATCTAATCAAATCTAATCTATCAAAATCAATCAAAATCAATCAAAATCAATCAAAATCAATCAAAGTCGATCCAAATCAATCAAAATCAATCAAAATCAATCGAAGTCGATCAAAATCAATCAAAATCAAACAGCTGACTGTGTCCTACTGCACGGTCGATACATATCACCGCATCTCATTAACCAAATCAATCAAATCAACCAAATCAACCAAATCAATCAAATCAATCAAATCAATCAAACCAATCAAATCAATCAAATCAATCAAATCAAGGTATCCTGTTGTATGATCGGGGTAGCAATAGCATCTAATCACTCGAAGTACTCAAGAGCAATCAAATCAATGAAAGCAATCAAAGCAAACAAATGAAAGCAAACAAAGTCAAATCATACAATCGAGAAGAGAAATCACACCAGTTAAAACTCAACCGAATCGTCCCACTGAAGCAACCCATCAGATCTCAATCAATCAGATCCATCAAATCGATCAAATCAGCCAATCTCTATCAATCAATCAATCAATCAGATCCATCCATCCATCCATCAATCAATCAATCAATCAATCAATCAATCAACCAATCAATTAATCAATCAATCAAATCCACAACTCAGCAATTAAATCATCCAAATCAAACAAGAAAACGATCAACAAGGAACACATCCACTGATTAATCAACCAGCAAAAATCAAGCGTAAAGAGAGGAAGTGCTGCTAATCTTCTGTGTATCGAGGACTGGTCTGAATTATTAACCAAAAAAAAAAAAAAAAAGAGTCCAATTACGGTCAGCGAGGGCGAGTGCGGTGGGCCGAGAGGTGAGGGTATGGCCGTTGCCGCACTGCACACGAAACGAA